TCTCTTTTCCCCTTGCAGTGAGCACAGTATGGGCTAGATGGCATCTGATTGGTCAGCACCATCCATGTGACTGTGCTGACCAATCAAAAGCTCTCTAGCCCGAACTGTCATATCTGCAAGGAGAAGAGACAGCAGTGGGCATTTCAAATCCCCGCCGCTTTTTCTTCTCTCCTACCACTGAGAATTTGGAGCATCTGCCTCAATAGTATACAGTCCCACTCTCCACTCAGCATGGGATGCCTGCAGGGAGGTCTCCCAAACTGCTCCTGTGTGAAAGCTATGACAAGCCTGGGTTCACACTGGAGCAGTGGGGAAACCGCATGCAATTTGAACAAAAATTGTATTTCTGTTCAAATCGCATGCTAATCTTTGCGGTGCAATTTGTTTTGATGCAAATCACACCGCAGCATATTGGTTCCTATTATCGGGAGTATATTCACGAGTACTCCTGAAAATACTTGGTATCAGCACCTCCCTAGCTTCAGGATGCAGGTAGGGTCACAAGTGGGTTACTGTAGTAATGAAAGAGTGGAGTTTTGGTGAAAGTGCACTTATTCCTTAATAAACTCTCTGGCTTGCCTGGCTGCTTGAATTTACTTTTGTAATAAAGTTCATACTTCACTTAAGTATTTGTATGTGCCCCATAGGGGTTAGGGGTTGACTAGAGCTAGTTGTTTTCAGAAATGATTTCAAAGTGAATGAGCTTTTCATTGCCAATGGATTTGCAATCCTGCATGTTCGGGGCAAAAAGTTGTTGGGATATCCTGTAGTGCGAATAGTAGGTGAATTTACTGTCTGAGGAATACACAGACCAGCCTTTCTCAACCTTTTTATTACTTCAAAGAAACCCAGGAAATAATTTTCAGGTCCTGAGGAATCCTTTCGAAAACCCACACATTTGGAGTTGGTGGGAAAAATGCTCCTTACAAAGGTGGTCAGTGACAAGAATACCTCACTTACAGATGTGATCAGAAGTCTACTCTTGTAGACAACTAAAAAACTAATTGGTATCATGTAGTTGGCTCTGCAAAGTGGCACGGTCTCCAGTACTATGTAGGCACCATCAGATGGGAAGTAAATTGGCCACAGCTCAAGGAACTTCAAGCAACCTCTGGAGGAACCCTAGGATTCCACTGAATCCTGGTTGAGAAAGGCTGACATAGACATTTCCCATCACATACTCTTGTGATCGTCTGCCACTCTTCTCTATTCTATGCTAAAGCTAAATAAAAAGTTTTGGAATTGGGATAAAGGCTTTTAAGGGTAAAAATGAGGAGGAAATATTGGACAGCAGAATTAAAGGTTATAGCTATGAAAGCCCCACTGCAGACAAAATATGACCCCCCACCCTCCTCTAACCAATTCTGCAAGGTTTGTTTATGTTCTTGCCTTATGTTCTGGTGAGACATGTTATATTTGCATAAGTCCCTTGTGTAGCTCCTTCACTGCCGTAGTTTCTAGTTGAAACTGCTAAATTCAGCACTGCACATGCACACTCACCCTCCATTCCCATTATGATGTCACTCTTCTTCTGGGTCCTGAGAGGAACCCACCCCTGGACAGAAAGTGACCTGGACACATGAAGAAGGACCCGTCTGAAGTAAACAGGAGGGAAGACTCAAGACTGCAGCATCTTGTGACTAGCATTAGACAAGTAGAAAGTGTGTTTTTTGGTTTTAATACAATGATCAGGTAGGTGAGGGAGGAGATAGGTTATCTTTATCCCAGAGATGGGCATTAAATTTTGCATAGACTGCTGTTTGCTTTGCATTGCTCCATATGGCTAGGGTACCTACTTTCAGATTGCTGTCAGTATATTGCAAGAACTATAGAGAGAATTCTGTAGTGACCTTGGATGTTACTGCCCACTGCTCTTAGTCCTTGGAGTGAGCTCTCCAAATCCAAGCAGCAGCATTCAGTTCTGCAAGTAGAGAAATGAGTTATCAGTCTGTTTGTAGCCTGTGACAGGCTGACACTGATTACATTCAGCTTTATATCCCCCTCCTCCTGGAAATGTGGCTGAATTGCACTAGGGAAGTGACCTTTTCGCAGTATCTGTTGGGATCCAAGATAACGTTACAAATAACATAAAAGGGAACTCTGTCAAATTGGATTTTGTAATGAAGCAGGGAAATGGATAACCTAATTGGTAATTATTATGAAAAACAGGTGTGAAAACGTCCACAGCATTGTTAATTATTAAAGCAAGACGGTCAGCATGACAGCCAGGAAACAGCACTTCTAGGCTGGTCATAGGAAACTCAAATTTCAGCCAATTGCTGCTAAATTGGCCAAAATTTGAGCTGTGACTGGCAATGCAAGCATCACCTGGCCCAGCAGAACTCATTGTTTTATATCATCAGAGCTGGATTGGAAATTATCTGTCAAACAGTGACTATTCAATCAGATACAGTCACTGGTCGGCAGGACCACTGTAATCAGACATCCACTTGTGCTGAGGTGCCTGCAAGCTGTAGGAAAGTAAAAAAATATGTAAATGTATGGCTTCCTTTGTAGAGATCCATGATGGCAGTCTCCTTCTTTAAAGTAAACTGAACAAATTATCTGGGCTGAGATTGGTGACCCCTCCGGTACATAGTAGTTGACTGGCTGGCTTTGACAAGTGAAGTCAGAACTCTAAATACTTGTTCTGGCTCAATTATTTGAGGTAAAATCAATCCATTGGTTTAGCATGAAATCTGGGCAGCCAGCACTGTCAGGAGGTGATCAGCAGTGTCAGTGACCATATGTTTCTCATACTGACTTGCTTTGATGCCCCCCTCCCCAGTAGCACACATTCTTTCTCTTGTTACCCCACTGCTCCATATAGCCACCCAGAGCAACACTTCAGGTATGGAGAGGTATATGACCTACTCTCCCCACAACCTCATGTGACAACTCTATGTTTAATAATTGGTCCAATGCTCTCACAAGGAGATGAGGGGGGGCAGGTCTCAACAATGTGTAAGCCCCAACCTGAATGACTCAGATCTTACACTGGGCTTCCTTTCCTAATTGCCAGAGCCTGAATGGAGGAAGGTGAGTGGGAAGGAAAGGTGAGTACTGCATGTGTTGCTTGGATAATATGGTCTCTGTGATTTTTTTTTTTCACGACAGGCAAAGGCAGTGGGTCCTTTTTATGTTTGGAAACATGATAGCATCTGAAATAGTTTTTTTTTTTTTTTTTAATTTTATCTCTACATGCAACATGATTTGTTAGGTCAGGAATGTTCTGGACAGACTCTGATTCTGCTTTATAATGGTGTCAGTTCAGGTTATGCACTCCCATGATTTGATTAGGACACCATAAGACAGAATTATCCAGGCTGTACCTTTTAAAGATGGCAAAACGTCTGGTAACTGGAGCAATAAAGAATATTTAGATGTATTTTGTGAAGCGGGAATAGATCAAATCAGACATGTTGCTGTAATCATTGTGTTAGCAAAATGTTCTCTACAGGGTCCAGTGACAATTCTGATAATATAGTGCTTTCAGTTATTGTTTGTCCTGTGTAAGGACACAGGCATTCTTCTTTCTTTCTTTTTTTTTTTCTTTTTTCTTGTTTACAAATGCTTTTATTAGTTTTTATGAAATAGGCTGCAAAAACAACATTACAGCATCCAGTAACATATAGAACAGAAACAAGGCACATCTGTAATATACATTCCAAAAAGGTACAACCATGTAAGGCAGAAAAATTAAGTGTATGAGCAAGATAGGCAAGAGGGTAGGCAGAACCATAATGGCACCAACAGAAAAACATGACAAATGAAATCCTAAATATTCATTATTCAGATAGTAAATGTCTATGCGCTTTTCAAACTTCCCACGTTCTGTCGAATAACTGCATCCTATCCAGTAACATGTAATGAATTCTCTCCATAAGCATCACTGCATCAACTCTCCACAAAACCGAGGGCAATGGCACCGTGGGCGACCTCCAGTGCAGGGCAATGGCCCACAAGACAGAAACACATGGTTTGGATTAGCCCCATAGCCCCCATCCGTATTCCCGCGATACGAGCTCCCAACAGGCAAGATTGCATAGACAGATGCACAGGGGCATCTGCCACAGCAGAGGCCACTTTGGAGACTTTGCGCCACTCCAACGAAAGGTGTGGGCAAGCCCAGAATGTGTGCACCAATGTGCCAGCTAGACCACAACCCCGGAAACACAGGTGGGACGTCCCCGGGAACATGACATTCAGCCTAGAAGGGGTAGAATACCAGCGGGTTAGTACTTTGAGGGCCGTCTCCCGAATGGAAAGATAAATAGAGCTTTTATATATACTATCCACCATGGAATCCCAATCCTCTTCAGAAAAAGTGACACCACTATCCACCTCCCATTTCTGTCTATAGAAGGGGGGTGAGGAATAGATAGTTACCAAAAAAGGACGATACAAACCCGAAATAAGACCTCTGCCCCTAGGAGAGTCACGGGTAGTACGTTCGAAAAAAGTAATCGGGGACGAAAGTCTAATTTGCCTGTAACGAAAGTATTCTCCGAGTGGGAAGGGCACAGGCATTCTGATAGGCCAGTCATCCCTAATGGTGCTGTGTTCACCGTTCAGAGGGACAACAGTGCTTCTTGGACTAGGTTAAAAAAAATATATAACCGTCACTAGAGGCCTTCATTTGTGGAAAATGTCACAGCAGTGTCCTTCATTTATAGTGTGTTAAACCAGAAAGCAGTGCTGATGCCACACTTTAACCACTAGCCTACAGGGCACTTATACCCCCTCCTGTCCAGGCCAATTTCCAGCTTTCAGCACTGTCACACTTTGAATGGCTTTTGCGCGGTCATGCAACACTGTACCCATATGAAATTTTTTTCATTTTTTTGTGACAGAGCTTTATTTTGGTGGTATTTAATTACCACTGGGTTTTTTTTTATTTTTTCTTAAACCAAAAACCACTAAAATTAAAAAAAAAAAAAAAAAAAAAAAATTCTTAGTTTTTGTTATAAAATTTAGTAAATAAGTGATTTTCTCCTTCACTGATGTGCGCTAATGAAGTTGCAGTGATGGACACTGATAGGCTGCACTGATGGGCACTGATGAGGAGGCACTGGTAGGTGGCACTGATGGGCATTGACAGGCATCACTGATGGGCACTGAAAGGCAGCACTCATATATGGCACTGATAGGTGGCACTGACTGGCACTGATAGGTGGCACTGTTAGGCGGCACTGAGGGGCACTGCACACTGATAGGTGGCACTGACTGGCATTGATAGGTGGCACTGACTGGCACTGATGGGTGACACTGAAAGGCAGCTCAGATGGGCACTGAAATGTGGCACTGATGGTGGCATGGATGAGCACTGAGAGCTGGCACTGATGGACACTGACAGGTGGCGCTGCTGGGGCTACACAGATCATCAGGGCACACTGATCATCAGTGATCTGATGATCTGTGTACACGTCCCATCCGAGAAATGCCGACTACTGGCTCTCCTCTCCTCACGAGCTGTCAGCGTGACAGCTCGTGGGGGAAAAAATGCCGATAACCGGCATTTCCCTGTTTACATGTGATCAGCTGTGATTGGACACAGCTGATCACATGACTGAGCCGACATCTTCAGCCCTTTCTGTGGATCGGTGATCCGCTGTGTCTGAGGGACACAGCGCACCGCCGATCGCCGCGCATGCGTGGTGAGAATGGGACGACATCATATGATGTCCTCCCAGAATGAGAGAACCACCTTGCGCCCGTCATATTACTATATGGCAAGCGGGAGGCGGTTAAAAGATAAGGACACCTTTTTGTGGAAAAAAAATAAAAACAATTTAATTTATTATTTTTTTTTCACAGGAGCCTTCAGAGCAGAGTGGATCAGGGGTACAATACCAGGCTACTGAACACACTGCCTGCTGCTCTGTGCCTATACCTCTGTGTGGGCTTTCAGTCACTGAGCTGTAGGGCAGTGTGAATGGACTATGGGTGTGCTAATCAGCATGCTTGTGGTCCATTGAAACAAGTCTATTTGCCATGGTGGCAGACACGACTTGTAGTCTTGTGTATATGTATATTGCTCAAAAAATTAAAGGAACACTTTTTAATCAGAGTATAGCATCAAGTCAATTAAACTCTTGGGATATTGATCTGGTCAGTTAAGTAGCAGAGGGGGTTGTTAATCAGTTTCAGCTGCTTTGGTGTTAATATTAACAGGTGCACTAGATGGGCAACAATGAGAAGAACCCCAAAACAGGAATGATTTTACAGGTGGAGGCCACTGACATTTTTTTCCCTACTCATCTTTTTTGTTTTTTCACTAGTTTTGCATTTCGCTAGGGTCAGTGGCACTGCTGGTAGATGAGGTGATATCTTGACCCTACAGAGGTTGCACATACAGTCCAACTCCTCCAGGATGTCACATCAATACATGTCATTGCCAGAAGGTTTGCTGTGTCTCTCAGCACAGTCTCAAGAGCATGGAGGAGATTCCAGGAGATAGGCAGTTACTCTAGGAGAGCTGGACAGGACTGTAGAAGTTCTTAACCCATCAGCAGGACCGGTATCTGGTCCTTTGTGCAAGGAGGAACAGGATGAGCACTGCCAGAGCCCTACAAAATGATCTCCAGAAGGCCACTGGTGTGAATGTTTCTGACCAAACAATGAGAAACAGACTTCATGAGGGTGGTCTGAGGGCTCGACTTCCTCTAGTGGGCCCTGTGCTCACTGTCTTGCACCATAGAGGTCAATTGGTATTTGCCATTGAGCTCCAGAATTGGCAGGTTTGCCTTTTCAAATGAAAGCAAGTTCACCCTGACCCATGTGACAGGTGTGAAAGGGTCTGGAGAAGCCGTGGAGAACATTATGCAGCCTGTAACATTGTTCAGCATGACCATTTTGGTGGTGGGTCAGTGATGGTCTGGGGAGGCATATCCATGGAGGGACACACAAACCTCTAGGCAGACAATGGCACCCTGACCGCCATTAGGTATCGGGATGAAATCCTTGGACCCATTGTCAGACTCTATGCTGGTGCAGTGGGTCCTGGGTTCCTCTTCGTGCACGACAATGCCCGGCCTGATGTGGCGAGAGTATGCAGACAGTTTTTGTAGGATGCAGAAATTGATACCATTGAATGGCCCCCACGCTCGTCTGACCTAAATCCAATAGAACACCTCTGGCATATCATGTTTTCGGTCTGTCCGACGCCGCTGGGTTACACCTCAGACTGTCCAAGAGCTTACTGACGCCCTGGTCCAGATCTGGGAGGAAATACCCCAGGACACCATCCGTCATCTCATTAGGAACATGCCCCGACGTTGTCATGCTTGCGTACAAGCACTTGGAGGTCATACAATATATGTGTATTAGTGTGTGTGTGTGTGTGTGTAATATAAATATATCACACACAGTGCCTTGAAAAAGTATTCATACCCCTTGAAATTTTCCACATTTTCTCATGCTACAGCCAAAAATTTAAATGTATTTTCTTGGGATTTTATGTGATAGACCAACATAAAGTGGTGTATAATTGTGAAATTAAAGGAAAATAATGAATGCTTTTCAACATTTTTTACAAATAGAAATATCTGAAAAGTGAGGTGTGCATTTATATTCAGCCCCCTTTACTCTGATGCCCCTAACTAAAATCTGGTCCAACCAATTGCCTTCAGAAGTCACCTAATTAGTAAATAGAGTCCACCCGTGTGTGATTTTAATCTCTGTATAAATACAGCTGTTCTGTGAATCCCTCAGTAGTGAACGAACAGCATCATGAAGGTCAAGGAACATGCCAGACAGGTCAGGGATAAAGTTGTGGGGACGTTTAAAGCAGGGTTAGGTTATAAAAATAATATCCTAAGCTTTGAACATCTCAGAACACTGTTCAATCCATCATCCGAAAATGGAAAGAACGTGGCACGACTGCATACCTACCATGACATGGCTATCCACCTAAACTGACAGGCCAGGCAAGGAGAGCATTAGTCAGAGAAGCAGCCAAGAGGCCCATGGTAACTCCAGAGGAGCTGCAGAGTTCCGTAGCTCAGGTGGGAGAATCTGTCCGCACGACAACTATTAGTCGTGCACTCCACAAATCTGGCCTTTATGGAAGAGTGGCAAGAAGAAATCCATTATTGAAAGCCATAAGAAGTCCCATTTGCAGTTTGGGGAAGCCATGTGGGGGACACAGCAAACATGTGGAAGAAGGTGCTCCGGTCAGATGAGACCAAAATTTTACTTTTTGGCCTAAAAGCAAAACGCTATGTGTGGCGGAAAACTGCACATCACCTTGAACACACCATCCCCACTGTGAAACGTGGTGGCAGCATCGTGTTGTGGGGATGCTTTTCTTCAGCAGGGAGAAGGAAGTTGGTCAGAGTTGATGGGAAGATGGATGAAGCCTAATACAGGGCAAAAACAGAAGAAAACCTGTTAGTCTTCAAAAGACTTGAGACTGGGGTGGAGGTTCACCTTCCAGTAGGACAACAACCCTAAACATACAGCCAGAGCTACAATGGAATAGTTTAGATCAAAGCATATTCATGTGTTAGAATGGCCCAGTCAAAGTCCAGACCTAAATCCAATTGAGAATCTGTGGCAAGACTTGAAAATTTGCTGTTCACAGATGCTCTCCATTCAATCTGACAGAGCTTGAGCTATTTTGCAAAGAACGGGCAAAAACGTCTCTCTAGATGTGCAAACCTGGTAGAGACATCACCAAAAAGCCTTGCAGCTGGAGTTGCAGCGAAAGATAGTTCTACAAAGTCAGGAGGGCTGACTACAAATGTACGCCACACTTTTCAGATATTTATTTGTAAAAAAATGTTGAAAACCATTTATCATTTTCCTTCCACTTCACAATTATGTGCCACTTTGTGTTGGTTTATCGCATAAAATACATTTACCTTTTTGGTTGTAACATGACAAAATGTGGAAAATTTTCAAAGGGGTTTGAATACTTTTTCAAAGCTGCATATTTGGCGTAATATCCTCTTTCATATTTTAAAAAAAGTGGCGTGTGTGTGTTTTTTTTTAAAATTCATTAACGTGTGTTTTTTTTTTGTTTTGTTTTGTTTTTCCCCTGAAAATTTGTGTTTGATAAACTGTCATGCAAATATTGAGACATAAAAAATTACATCTACCATCCTTTTAATTCTTTAGTGCATTTACTTTTAGAAAATATATAATATTTAAAGGTTCTAAGTAATTTTCTAGCAACAAAATATGATGATTTTTACATATATGTGAGAAATGTTAGAATTGGCTGTGTTTTGAAGTGGTTAATCTTTGTACACTGATGGGCAGTGGTGGTTTTAATTAATCTCTTTGTGCTGCATTAGTGGGCAGTGGCAGTGCTTATTACCCACTTCATGTTGCAGCATATATGGGTTCATTAACATGGACACTGGAGCAACTAATACAGCACAAGGTTAACTAACTGCCACCGGTCACTAATGCATCGGTGACCAGTGGCAATACCTCTTCCTGCTGCACATTACTGACTAATGGCATTAATTAATCAACCTGTTCACCCCCCCTAACCAGGGGCGTATCAGTAGGCCTGTGTGCAAGATCAAAAGTGGGCCCTGGGCATTGAGGGAGAAAAAATGTGGTGCAATTTATTTAAGGTGGATAGGCAGGGAGGGGGGTTATTGTTGGAGGTGGAGAGCAGGCGGGGGTTTGTTTGTTTAGAGTGGAAGGCAGGGAGGGGGGTTATTGTTGAGGTTGGAGAGGCAGGGAGGGGGGTTGTTTAGGGTGGAGAGCTGGGAGGGGGTTATTGTTGAGGGTGGAGGGGAGGGGGATTATTTATTTAGGGTGGAGAGCAGGGAGGGGGTTATTTTTTTTAGGGTGCAGAGCAGGGAGGGTGGTTATTTGTTGTGGAGAGCAGGGAGGGTGGTTATTTGTTGTGGAGAGCAGGGAGGGGAGTTATTGTTTAGGGTGGAGAGCAGGGAGGGGAGTTATTGTTTAGGGTGGAGAGCAGGGAGGGGGTTTATTTGTTGTGGAGAGCAGGGAGGGGGTTTATTTGTTGTGGAGAGCAGGGAGGGTGGTTATTTGTTGATGTGGAGAGCAGGGAGGGGAGTTATTGTTTAGGGTAGAGAGCAGGGAGGGGGGTTATTCTTGGAGGTGGAGAGGCAGGAAGGGGAGTTAGTGTTTAGGGTGGAGAGCAGGGAGGAGGGTTATTTAATGTGGGTGGAGAGCAGGGAGGGGGTTTATTTGTTTAGGGTGGAGAGCAGGAAGGGGAGTTATTTTTGAGGGTGGAGTGCAGGTAGGGGAGTTATTGTTTAGGGTTCCCCCTCTAGTGCTCCTGGGCCCCTCCTTTCTGCCGAATGCCCTCAGAGCAAGCAGCTTGCTATGGGGGCATCCAAGCAGGCTTCCTCCTGAACCACTGCTCTGCGAGTCTATTCATACACAACCACGGCTTGGCCCTGCTCCTTCCTTCTCATTGGCTCACTGACTGTGATTGACAGCTGCGGGAACCACTCCCACCTCAGCCAATGAGGAGGGAGAGCCCCCAGAGAGCTAAGGCACATCACTGGATCAATATGGGGCTCAGGTAAGTATTGCTGCACACAGAAGGTCTTTTACCTTCATGCAACGTATGTAT